GATAATAAGATTTTTGGTACTTAGAGTTTCCAAAATTTAAAACTCTAGATTTGGCGATGGAGAAGGCGACCATGATGAGGACAGGGGGCAACTGAGACTGATACGAAGAAAAGGTTAAAACCGATGGCCAAACAGTAAGTTGTGATTCTCTTCACAAGATCGCAGGACTAAGATTGATTGTCTTAAAAAGGTTAAAATCCATGACCAAATAGATTTTTCTTCTTAATTCTTTTTTTTAATATGTGGGCTTCTCACATAGTTAGGAAGTCAGTTACTTCTAGAAGTTAGGATTTAATTTTAATATAATATGTTCTTGCTCATTCAGATTTTGGAGAATAATACAACTAAAATGAGGAATAAATTGATGGATGCTTTGTTGGGTATCCTATCACAGGTCCAATACAATGCCCCATTTAATTTTTGATATTTGTTAAGCCATGTGTTGTAAATTTTTTTTAATGGAATTCGAAGGTTAATTCATTTTTTTATTTCTAAATTAGACATATTTTTATTCTATATCATATTTTCCTTTATTTATTATGAGTTCTTCTTCCTGTTCTGTCCCACCAAATAAATAAGACTAATATTTATTGCATCATCAAAATTGTTCATATATTACACCATTAGCACTTTTTGTCATTTCAGACACTGCTTGAAAATAGAAAACCTTGATGTGGAGCTTTGGCTTTCCATCTAGAAGGCATGGGGCCTTGGAAAAGGCAATAATGGCAGGGCTTTTGTGAGGATAATCCACTGTAATCAAGGTAAGAAAATTACAATATTAGTTTATTTTTTTGTGAGGTTTTAGTATTTAGTTTTTAATGGGTACTAGATTGTTGTAGTTTATGAGTTCTTAGCTGTTACGGTTTTCCATACATTATTTGTCTTTAAGTAAGTACTACTATAATGTTGAATCTTAATTGATAAAAATGTTGGGTTTTTATTAAAAGAGTGATGCATTACAAATCTTTGAGTGGTAATGTGCTCCTTGCATAATATTTCAGGATGAAAAGGTTATATGATACAATGTAATGTTTTGATACACTACTCCCTTTAGCACATTATTCTTCATGTGCTGCTTATCATTCAGTAAATTTTGCTCCTATGCTCTCAACAACTAATTATTGTGTCATCTAAGTTTACATTTATTAAAAAAATGATTTTAATGTGCAAAATAATGTGTAAAAAAATGATTTCGGTATTCATTTGATAAAATAATACTCTCTCTAGGTTGTGAAAGTCAACCACATACATACTAACACAAGATGTGGTCAATCAAATGTCAGAATAATGTATTTTTGGTGATTTTTTATTATATCTTTTTGAAAACAAAATATTTTCTAAATTACATATTGGGCCTGGTAGTGAGTATATATTAGGCTTTCGATGTTAATTGTGTACTGAAGCATATATGGAGAAAATTATCACAATGAAAACTTGGTTTTCAATTATGTGATCATAAAAGCTTTGTGTGGCTATTCAGGTTTTCTCTTGAATAAAAAAAGTATCAACACATTTTGGGACCTCATATTGCTGGTAAGATCCCAGAAGCTTTCTTCTCGCTTTATGATTATTTTGTTATCTTACTTGGGATTACTTATTGATGATATTTTTCCGTTTTTCTTGGTTTTCTTTTCACAATAATTGGATTTTTATTAGTGGGTATATATGTAAAAAAAAATAAGCAATATTCCTCATGGTAATTCGCTTTAAATGTGTCTGATCGTCCTCTAGATTCCTTTGGGCCTCAAGTCTCAACTTGCAGCGTGATCTTATTTGCCTCAATGCCAAATTGATTTATCTGATCTATGTACTTTGATGAATGCAGGTTGCAAATGGATTGAGCTCTTACTTTGGAAGCTAGCAAGCGACATTCTTCTAGCGTCTTTGTTAATACTCTGTTTCAATTTTTTCTTCTTAATGATTCTTTTTTAAAATGTTTACTTCTTACTGATGTGGGTTGAACAAATCATATAGTAGGTTGATGGTGAGGTTTTTGTTCGGTACCTAGAATTTGATAGAGCATATTATTGAAGTTGGAATAGTCTCTTTTAGAGTATTATTAGATTTTCTCCGGAATTTTTATCCATGCTAATATTGCTTGGGTAATACTTTGTATTTCTAAAAGTACTTTCATTTATTTAAAATTAGCTTTACTTGAAGGATTTACCAAATCTTCTTTTCCAACCATACAAGTAGTCTTTTATGTCCTATCAACATTTATTTACTAGATTCTACAAATCTTATTTTGCTGGAGTATTTACTATTGCAACACATATTTAAGCGTGCCAACTAAGAAGGTAGATTTTCAAATCTTTTGAAATGCGTGCCATTATAACCTTTTGGTGCATTGCTCAAGAAAAATTTGGTGTGTTGCTCAAGGAAAAAGTTGGTGCATTGCTCAAGGGAAATTTTGTGTGTTGCTCAAGGAAAATGTATAGCTACCTATTCAAAAAGATATTACGTTGCTCAAGGGTGGCTTTATGTCAAATCCAATTAAATAAATAAATTTATCAAATCCATACATTTAATGAATAAGTTTATATATTCTTTGTCTAATTACTCTCTCCGTCCAAAATTAAACTTTACATTACGCGTTATGATGTTTGACTGAAGTTATTTTTAAATAATTTTATATGAAAAATGGTCTAGAATTAAAAAATAAAAATTACATATTAAAAAACTATATCAAAAGATCTACAAAACTAGATGTGACATGATCATATTATTTTATCAAATGGGTGACGTAAATAGGCCAACAAAGTGAATAAAGTTCGACCCTGTAAATAGTGATCGTAAAGTTTATTTGTGGACGGAGGAAGTATTATATATACTCCATATACCAAATTGGCACTCCCTCACATGGATGAATACTACCAATACTTAAAATAGAAAATAGAAAATATAAAATGATAAAGAGAGTGAAAGATCCATAAATATGAAGTGTGAAACAAAAAACTTAACTGATATCTTCACATCCAATATATAAAGGACCATAGAAATGAAACCACATATATCACAAAATTCAAACATTCAATGTAGTTTGTAAAAAAGATTTTCAAAGCTTACAATGTAATGGATCCA